TAACAGTATCATGCTGAATAAAATAGTTTGGCTGGTGTTCATAGAAACCTAGTCTGGTAGAAGGCACCATAAAAAGCTAGCTGTATATTTAATGGTCAAGGAAATGGGGTGGTGTTAGTAATTTGTCTGATGTTGGTACCAGATGTTAAGAGAACCTTTAAAACTCCACCTGTACCGTACCTCTCATGTGGTATAGATAACAATAACAAAACTACCTCAAGAATTTTACTACAAACCAACCACACAGCTGTACACTTTCTTTTTCCCCCAAGTTCTATCAGTGTTTATAGGCAGGAATATTTGCTGCAATAAAAGGCCTTCAGAGATATAAAGAAAATTATAAGCAATTGTTGTGGTCTTTTGATAAAATGGTCAGAATGTTGGTGCTTGGAATTTTGTTTTTATATACTAGTTAAACAATTTCTTGGAATTCACAACTCCAAAAGCTACAGAGCTCTCATTTCAGAGTCTGTTGAATCAGCTTGCTTAAGGTGTATGATACCAATTGTAGATATGTGGTAATATTTCACAAATTTTTTTATCTCTTACAAAAAGCTTAATCAAAGTGGACCAATAGCTATGATAAAAGTCTTATAAACTTTAAATGTGAACATTGAGAGTCGCCAAAGGAAAATAACAGAATTTTTTGAAACAGTCCCTTTAAAGTCTCCATTCAATTTACGAAAGGTGATAAAAGGTCTTCATTTAGATATAGCAAATACAAATACAGAACAAATATACTCTGAATAAACTGAAGACAAGGCACATACCTTTACATCCAGATGTTTAAAAATACATTGCTGTCTGCTAAACAAATACTTTATTATAATTATAATATATATTGACGTCAGTATGCTCCCAAATACAGACAGTTTAACTTAACAACAACTTTTTTATATACTCAATTGTCAAAATGAACAAAAAACCTGCCTCTAAGGGGGTAAACTTATGTTTACTGTACAATGAAAATTGAGTTGAAATAATTGCCAATGACTATTGTAGACATGTCAAAAAAATATCTCAAAACATTCAAAATATTATTCAAATTACAAATTTGGTTTTCTCACATTTTTTCTTCAGGCATTGTTGACATTAATTTAACGACTTGAATCAGTAGAAATATTTCATTTAAAGAGTAAATTATGGAAATTCTGCAGGTGGTACATGTGAGCTCAAGTAACAAGGGTGTAATTTGGGGCTAAAGTTATCTCTCATATTTGGAGTTTGTTGAAAGGGAAAAAATGATAGTATATGATTATTATTGCTAGTATTTACCTATGATTTACCTGAATGAAACTGACCTAGTTTATCCTACATTTCATTCATTGAAAAACCTTGATAAACCCTTAACTTGGTAGCTTCAAGTTGAACTTAACAAACTTTTTCAAGCAGAAAAAATATATATTAAAAACTACTCTAACATGATAAGAAAACATTAATTTTTCAATGTGTTTAATAATTTTGTTATAATCGAAAATTAAAATGTCAAATTTCAGAGATACTTTGAGTACAAGTTTGGTTCAAAAAGTATAAATGCATTTAAAAAATTGTAAAGTCAAGACAAAATCTTTGTTCTCTTGTCACACAGAATAAATATAATCCTATTATCTGATTTTATGTGAAAGATTTGGTCTAGATTCACATGGTTTGAGAATATGGATATCAAGATTGGTGAAGGCTAAGAAGATGTTCTTTTGATGGCTTCTAAATTTATTTGGAGAATCACAATAATTCAATATTCAAATATGGAACCTTGAGCTGCAGTAAAGTGCAGTCAGGACATTCAACCACAGACACACCATATAACCACAAAACATTTTTAGGGCATACACGATTAAGGACTAATGTATAATTATGTTGGTATATTCTCTACCAGACTCAATAAACTGAACTGGGATCAAGACATCACATGTTTTAAACTTAATAAAGACATTGTAATTTATTCATCTTCACACATCAGATGTAGGTTCCTTTAGTTAGATTAGATTTATATCTTATTTTAGCTTTGATATAACTATTCTTACATTGATATTAACTCTGTACACTTTGTAATTATATTTATAGTTCACATATTTGTATTTTTGAAAGAAATGCTGACCATGAAAGCAATTATTTTCATGTTATCATAGAAGCCCATTTGCATGGAATTATTTAATTTAAATGTATTCCTACATATTTTTATCTAGTTCAAAAGGATATGAATTGTGACTGGTTGACCTTGATAAACACCCTGAGCCCCACGAAAAACAGAACCAAACCTAAGTTTGTTAAGTTTCTCTTAAAGCCATTCAAAGTCAACTGGTCCAAAATAGTGTAACATTAAACTTAAATTCAAATACAGAACTGACTGGACTTAGAAAAGTACACTAGATAATTAATGAGCATTAGTGATGTCTTTATTTGATGTAAGAAAAGGGGTTAATACTCTAGAAAACAGTCTCATTAATCAACAAGACAGAGCAATCCCCAAGGGAACAACAAGTGCTAACAAATTAAATACCTATCAACAATAAAGCTATTTAGTATGTAAAGACTGATATACCATATTAATTATCATGCATTGTAATAATAACATGTAAAATTACAGATATAACATGTATAACCAATTACATGTATCATGTTTTTTAGCATAATTTGTCTCAGTCTGATGTCAAGTTCCAGACATGCCATAAGAGGATATATTCGTCATAAAAAATTGTCTGATGACTTGCATAAATTAAATGATTTCACTTCTTTCCATACTCTTAAATTACCATTTGATACCACATTCTTTGAGACCTTTTTCAATGCATAGAACTAATTTTCAGGTTTCATTTCTTTAAAATTGTACTTTTTTGAGGTTTGGAAATATGTTGTGATTTCCAGATAACAGATCAGGCAATAAGACAATGTACAGATAACACACCAATGTCCAGAAAACAGAAGGTTTACTAAATGTTGCCAGGCTGCTGTTTTCAGACAACCCATATATTTTACTTATAATACTAACAGTACTAAAAACTTAGTAAGTAGTAGAACCAGAAGATGGTACCAATAATAAGTAGAGTATTGTTTCTGCTATATATATCTAGCTTAACTTCTAAAACAGATTAAGGTGATCTGGCATAGTTCCACTGTTCTGTAACCTCCAGGCAGCCTATGTTGTATACCTGGTACCATATAATACACCTATCCATGTAGTAGTCAGTACTTCAGTGAAATCAGTATAAAGTAAGACATACAACCCCATTCTAACTTGACTGCATAAGCTGCATGTTTTGTCTATAATCTAGTTCAACAAACCATTTGGTGAATTTTGAAGGTTAAAGTTCTTTCATAACAGCAATAAAAATTATTACTAGACAATTTGAGGCGGAATCTGTCAATTTGTTATGCATATTCATGCAAAGGCACTTAAAGAACTTCTTCTTAGCACAATAGCTCGAGATGTCAACATATTGAGTAGGCCAATATATATGCCAGTTTTGAGAAGAACAAATCACAGTAATGGTATCCATCCCTAAAGTCAAAACTTTAAGACATGTACAATGCAACAACCTTCATGTCCTTCTGAGTCGCAAAACTAAAAACAGGTTTTAAAGCAGTGAATTGACTTGCATATGACAAGGTTTTTAAAGTGCTCAGAAAGTCCTGTAACTTAACCCTATTCATTTCAACTTCTGCTCACTTTCTAATGTAATAATCAATGTTTAATGAAGCCGAACTAACTTTGTTAGAAGTCTTTGTGGCTAGGTGATTGTCTAAATCATGAGATGTATAGATGTATAGAAATACTTGATTGACTACTTGACACCATAACAGTATTTTACCACTATTGACAATAGTAGGGCATACTAGTATAATGTAGACTTTGATTAATCATCATTAATTATCACCTCCCTTTATTAACTCTTCAATTGATACTGACACCTCCAATATATCTCAGCTCTCTGTTAAGGAGGTTGTAATGAATGGATGAGCCTGAATTACATGAAATATTTGAATTAAGACATCGAAAGCTGATGTCAAGAGATATTTCAATTTAATACTATTGTTCAGAAATTATGACTCTTACCTATAATATCTCAACTAATTTGTAGATAAAGACAATGGTATTAATGGTCAAAAAGGGAACATAAGACGAGAATTAGGCCTACTATTGATCTACAGCTGAGAACCACAGTATACTTTCAACTCATATGTTAACTATTATAAATTAATACTACCAATTGATACAGAGTTACTTTCCATGTTGGCTACTTGTCAGAAAGATTAAGAAGTAAAATTACAAGTGCATTAAATGTGCAAGTTATTTCAGTGTTTAACAGAGATCCCTATTGTGTTTCTCAGATGTAAGTGACTGGAGGAAAATAAACCCCACTGAGTTAATGAGTGGTAATCATGCCATGTTATGACATCTTTGTTACACAATCGACTCTCCAAACTGGAAATTTTAACCCCATAATAGAAATTCTTCAAAAGAACATTCAATAAAAAGTTGATAAAGGAGGTGAAGTAATGGGAATGCTGAGAAAAGGGGATTTTTCTTTATTGTGGTTTTATCTCTATTTAATAGTAAGGTTCATAGTGAATGAAATAAAAGGGGGTCAAAATTGAACCAGAGTAAATCTCGGTGAGCTCTGGTCTAAACACACGTCTCTAAACACTGCCTTTAATTACCACCATACATCAAACGTTTTATTCATTTACCTACCTACCTCTACTGCAACTATAATATTGTTCTCTATACATCGCCTCATTTGGTCAAGTACATATATATATATAAATTCTTCAGCTTTTATCTCAGAAAGTTAAATTTGCTTTAAAATTGCATAATAAGCATGTATTGAATTCTTTAGGCAAATGCACGTTTAACATGAGATCAAGGGCTGTAATACTTATGTCTTGCCCATTCAAACTACAACATTTATTTATTGCCTAGGTAGAGGCTGGCATATTTCAAAAATTCGAACCCATTCCAAATGGAATACAGTAACGACCATGGAATGGTGGGCTTTAAACTAGGTACCGCGAGAGAGGTACATTTCATGGTAGATACTGTTACTGAGATTGCGTGCAATAGCACCACCTATACACACTATATGTAATGGCAACTTGCTCTGACAAATAACCGATTTCTATGCCAGACTAAACTATTTTAATATAATATTCTGCTTGTCTGGCATTACTAACAGTTCTTTAACTTTTAACGGTATTACAGCCAAAAGGCTACCTGTGCACGTGAGTAAATACGCTTTGATAACAACCTCTGTTAAGTGCACGCGTTTAAATTCTGCATACCGTTGTCTAATACAGTTTTATAGAAGCTAATATCGATATACTGTAAAAACAGGTGGAATAAAAGCGTTACTTACCAATGCTCCACAGAGACTCAGAGTTGCCACAGAATGAATGTTATCATGTACAGTTCCAGAGTAAAAACACTTGGAATATATACCCCCATCTTTAAATTCCTCAATAAAAGTCGTATTATCTGTCATTCGCTGCACCACAAATCCTGGTGCTATAAATTCCTTAGAACGAGATAAAATCAACACAAATTTTTTCCCCAAACCATTTATTATCAATTTTTCTTTTTCATTGAACCACGAATTTTGATTAGAATTGACACTTCGTTTGCTCATAGATCTTGGTACCAATTCCACCACTCTTTCCACATAAAACGAATCAAAATACTCCTTAGAAGCTGAAAAAAAAAACAAACAAATTATTAACTTTCATACATGTTTTGTAGAATTGAGGTATACCAACATATTTCACTAGTATACAAATAACAATGCTATATAACATTATTCCTGAAAATAAAAGTTCCATTACACAAAAAATGCCGGTACCTATACCTTGTCCAGTCTCTCTCCCTAAACTATCCCTTGACGATAGGCTTAGTGTCCGGGGTAGTGCCATCAAAATGCACCATAACCCCACTAAAGCCCTGCACAGAGGCATGGTCAAGTTTTAGTAAGGTACTTCATTCAAATCCGATTCTGGCTAGACTTCCACCAAAAGAACTTTTCGTTTTCTGTAGTGAAATGAATTTACTATAACACACACCCATTTTCATTTGCCGTCATTTTATTGGTTAAGAGAATGATGATGGAGCTGTCAATCAATATTTTCTACTATAGTACTCTCATAGTGATATACCATTACATTGTAAAATCTTTAGCTAGTAACATGTATGAGAACAATATATAGCCTAAGTTGGGGCCGTCCTTCGTTAATTAATTGATGATAAGTTTGTCGATCACTGACACAGTTGCTTTACTCGTCATATACACTAATAACTTTATCAAGATTCTTATTCCTTTTTCTTTGTTTTGGATATGACACCCGTTTATGGTTTAATTGTGAAGACCGATACATAAGTGCTTAACGAAATCCCAAACCTGTGTCTGCTCAAAAGTAATTGCTTGCCTATTTTCCAAGTGAGAACGTCTGCCTTTCCATGTAATGCTGGACATTTCCATAAACAACAGTTTGTTGCTGATATAATTCATCCAATAAGGATGAGATGGAGGACGGGTTCAAAATTTACGGATAAAAGCATCTTAATTCTTATCATGGGGATGGTGATCTTTAAGTGCTCAGTCTGTAGTACACGAAGCACTGATATGAAGTCCCTCAGATCTGCGTCACTGACAAAGAGAAACCGGAGTACAAATTTGATGGTTAGTCTCGATTGGACCTACAGATTAAAGACATGGTATAATTTTATTTTTAGATATCGCACTTCCCCAGGGCCCGCCTCTCAGTCCCATATCCTGTTGAAAAAAAAAATTTCTTTGTTTGGTATATTTTTTTAATGGTAGCCTAGTGAAGAGATATTCAAGTGCAAAGTTTCAAAAAAGGAATTTCGACCCAATAACGAGCATCCACAGAACAGCATATAGGTAGGTAATAATATCATACATACAGTCAAGTAACCCAATTTCGTGGAAACCTATTATTCGTGGATTTCCGGAAAGGATTAATAATTTACATGAGCGACCTTGCACGACCTCCGCATTAGTTTGTTTTGGTAAACATATGTTATCTCTACAATATCAGCTAGTAGAATGAATCCAGTAGTTTCAAGCAAGGTAAAATGTATTAATGTATACTTTGACAAATACAAAATGGTGGATTTCAGTATTACCAAACGTCACCATTTTTTATCGGCCGAATTTCCTTATAATCCCAAGCCGTAATCGGAATTCCAAGTGTCGTCTGCTAGAATGTAGTCCAACGAATGAAGTCATGTGATCAACTAGCGGATTCCGTGTCAGCTGAAAATTTCTATGGAACACAAAGTGGACCATATTCTTTTGTTGTTTCAGTGACTTTTAGCAATAAATCACGCTACGCATCTTATTTTGTCAGTCACTATTTTGTTTTTTTAAATCGTGGTTCTTGGAAGGAATTGTCACTGGTTATAATGAATTGATATTAAAGATAAATACTAAGAGAAGTTAATTATACCACCCGGTATCCATACAACGTGTTTTTCTAGACTTATTTATAGATCAAACATTGTACACGAAAATAGGTGACGCATTCTGCCGCCGTTGCCGAGTTGGTTGCTCATGAAATATGGGTCAAAGTGAAGGATTCATAAAGAAAATCGAAATAAACCAATTTTAATCATTTTGTAGAATATCTGAGGAAACATCTAAGACATAAAAAAAAATCCTTTTTTTAACTTTGACGAAATTCGGTGTTGAATCCTTATATCCACGAAAATAGGTTACACCACTGTAATATATACATGTCATCAAATACATGTAGTCAAAAATGCTATCTATTCAACAACATGGAGCAAAATTATTTACGTTGTCAGTCTATAGATCGGTTTTCCAAATTGTCTTTAAAGCCTGTGTCTACATCGCCATTTCATATTCTTAAATAGTCAAAAATCTCTAAAATGGCGAACGCTGTTTGAATCGAAATTTGTAGTTTTCAAAAGTATTTCAATAAGTTGTGTGATTTCAATTTGGGTTTAATGGTGATAATTTTTGAAAATGGAAATTTTCTGAAACGAGGCAAAAATAAGGATGTGAGAGAGTCGTATAAGATAACAGAAGATTCATTATTTTCCTCGGAAGTGGTTAGTTGTGATCGTACCATATCAAACAGAGTTATATCGATGTTCTAATTGGCCTAACTGATTTCACAATAACATGAATCAATATGTTGTTAATCGCGTATTTACTTTTCATAACAGAAATCCATCAAGCAACACATCTGCAACTCCGTACATACAAGACAATTCCGTCAATCAAAACTCAGGAGTAAAAGTTGTTATTATAGTAGTCGACTCCTCCACCAGGTATTTCGAAAAGATGAAGCGCATGTCAATGTCTGACCAAACAAATAAGCCAAAATGCAAGAAGGTAGGTAGATGCCAAGTTAACGTTCGTTTCCAGCGAGAAGAAGCAGATTGGAAGTATTTTTAAAGGAGTTCTTCATAACGAACATAAAATTTACTACTTCACATTCGAAGTTTGTGTCAAAAAACCCTGTTTCAGCAATTTCAAAGTTACTCGACCTCTAGCCAGAAAGTCCTCATCTCTTAAGTAGAACAAGCCCTATCATATGGGATGAGTTGTACACAACGTATCTTCTTGAAAAGACAAAACTATTGTGTCAAGCAAATTCTGCTGGCTCGTAAGACAAGATAACATGATGTTTCCAATAACCATGCTCACAATGTTTTACTGAAGGTTTTGATCAAGAGGGTGCAGACTACGAGGCAATCATACTGCCATGCTTTCACTATGTAAATTGATAAAAGATTAGACAGTTTGGGGCCAAAGCCGGGTTGGTCCGTTTTGTGGACAGACAGAAGGACATCGGGCCAGTGGCGTTTCTACGAAAAGGAGGGGGGGGGGGGGGAGGGGGGGATCACTGCCGGTTTTACAAAAATCTTATCATTGAGTTCTTAAATACCTGGTGCTGTTTGTTAGGCTTCCCTTGACTTGACCTTTCGGGGGTCCCTCCACCTAATGATTCACGGAACGCTATCTGTTGCATCGGCGTTGGCATGTTCCTTTATCTATCTGGATAATATCTACCATGCGGCGCTGATGGTGTTTACTGGTACTACAGTTGGTCGATTCAGAAACTCTCTCTCTTCAATTGCTTTGTTTTGGGCTTAGTAAGCCTAGATGGGATCTGTGTTAAGAGTTTTTCAGGGGTTCAGGCAAGGAGTATTAAAAGATCCATCGCAGTCGACTTGAGCGAAATAAATAATTGACCATAATAAAAAAAAAATGCGATAAAATTGACGTCGTTTAAAGTGATACTACATCTTAGTATTTACCAGTGAACTGATACATGGTGTCAAAAAGTTACAACAGATTCCGTGTAAAATTGGAAAATTCATAAGTAATTATTGAAAAACGCTTGATCTTAATATTAAGCGTTTTTCAAAAGTTAATTGCATATGTATGGATAATTACTAAGTTTTTTGGATTTATCGGATTATATAAGGATCCTGTTATTTATGACACCAGGTATTTCTACTGTTGAATAATATTATGCTCTTATTGGCCAAGTTTAAAATTCTTAAATTTTATGCTCCTTCTAAACGTAGTATATTTTGTTAGCATAAAAGACGGCAACGAAAGGCCAACTGTGATTTGTTTTATTATTAGTCGTCGGTGCGCTATAATAAAGTCAAGTTAATCCAGCAATTGATCTTATTCGTCCAAATGTCGGCAGTTCCTGTAGCCATTGAAAACTCAATCTTTTGAAAGTGCATTGTTATCAAAAACGCCACTAACAGTGAAACACTATGACGATCACAAATCAAACTCGACCCTACCGCAGGTGTTTCGGTTTGGACTTCCGGCTTTTAACTTGCGCGTGCGCAATCAGCTGTTTTGAAAACCGACGCATCGCTATTTTGACCAATTTTAATCAAAATATTTGTGTATATTTAACGGAATATTTGTGTATTTTCGAGGATATACCTATGGTTAAACAAACGAGGAATCGTTCCATCTCTACAATTGTGTCAGAGTAGGTAAGATAAATCATTAAACTGTAAAAACAGTGGACTTTATGTCGATCGGCTTTGTTTGTGTGCAGTTTTGAAAGAGGCGTTGCACCAACTTCCATTTTCTTTACATCTCTACTAATAAAATTCAAATAATAGACCTCTATATTCCTTTCTTATTATGAATAGGTGACATATTATCTTTAGAAATTTCTGGTAATTCTATTTTATGAGTGATAAAACTGTATACATTTCTGTAGGCCGCCATTTTGCATTTTTCATCTGACCTCCCAACTTCCTGTTTCATGAGGAAAAGACTTTTTTTCTTCAATGTACACCGGAATTAGATAAATCCATTGATGTAAAGACAAATCAAAATATCTTGTGACATGTTCTTTACACTGGTATCCATGACTTTTAGTTTTCAAGCCTTTTTTAAGTCTTCGAATCATCTAGGTTCATAACTGATTGTGCATGTGAATTTGACCTTTGACCTATTAACATGTAAACACTTGCCTGATGATGCTTTATTTTATCGCACAGATATGAGACTTGAGCACCTTTGATTTTAAGATATACTTTATTACACATCCAAATTTATTTCATAATTGCAGAAGTCCAAATGCCGAAAAAGACAGAAAACAATGAAGGGGAGGAGGTTCGACCAAAGATAGTTCTTGATTTTGATGTCAGATTATTCTGCCAGAACCTCAAAGCAACAAAACCTCCATATAAATGTCCTGTTGATGGCTGTGGCAAACTTTACAAAAGTTATTGTGGCATCCAGTTTCATCTTTACAATTTTGACCATGAAAATCCAGACAACTGTATTGTGTCCCCAGCACAAAAAGGGAAGAAAAAGAAGTCCAGATGGCATCACAGACAAGATCGACGATCACCAACACCTCCTGTGTTTATAAGATCACCTCAAAGAGATACTCTTACATACGCAGAGTCCCAGAGATTGGTTGAAATAGAACTTGATGGACGTATTCAAAGATTAGATATTCATGAACCTATTGAACTTATTTCTCAAGATGAAATTGACAATCATCACAATACAGAAAAAGAAGAGAAAACTGAATCTAAAACCCCCTTAAAATCTGGTAAAAGTAAAACTGTTGATAGTAAAAATAAAGTGCGTAAAGAAACTACTGTTCCCCCAGTCAAATTGCCAGAAGCTCAATTTAAAGTGTTAGAGGATTATGTTAAACCAAATCATTTTAAACCGCGTCCATCATCCTATTATAGGTATATTGAAAAAACATCTGATGAACTTGATGAAGAAATAGAATATGATATGGATGAAGAGGTAAATTTTAAAAATTATTCTGTATAAAAGATTTTCAGATTTAAAATAAGTATACAATATGTAATACAGCATAGACTGTTATTACAAAAGATCCTTATGAGCATAGAAGAAAGAAATTCCTTGAAAAATATGTCTGTCCATTTGGCCTTCCTTTACTCCTAATGTTACTTTTGTTTTCAAGTTTCTTCTAATCTTTTAACTTATTTCTTACAGGATCATTCATGGTTAGAGCTAGTGAATGAAACACGGGTTAAGGAGGGAAGTAATGGGGTGATCAGTCAGGAAGTGTTTGAAACTTTAATGGACCGATTTGAAAAGGAAGCATTTTTTCAAAGTCAAAGTGCAGGGAAAGACCAAAATCCTTCTATAGACGAGGATGCTGTGTGTTCTATTTGTCAGGATGGTGAATGCCAAAATAGTAATGTGATTTTATTTTGTGACATGTGTAATTTAGCAGTGCATCAAGAGTGCTATGGTGTTCCGTATATTCCTGAGGGTCAGTGGCTATGTAGACGTTGTCTCCAATCGCCATCGTTTGCTGTGGATTGCACTCTCTGTCCTAACAAAGGTGGTGCATTTAAACAAACTGACGATAGCCGCTGGGCTCATGTTGTTTGTGCACTATGGATACCAGAAGTTGGGTTTGCAAATACAGTATTTTTAGAACCTATTGACGGTATTGAACGAATCCCTCCAGCCCGTAAAAAATTAACTTGCTATATATGCAAACAGAAAAGTGTTGGTGCTTGTATTCAGTGTCATAAAACTAATTGTTATACAGCATTTCATGTGACTTGTGCTCAACAGGCGGGTTTGTATATGAAAATAGAACCAACCCGGGAACCAGGTCCACATGGGACTGTCCCTGGTGTGCGGAAAACAGCGTATTGTGATGTTCATACACCAGCTAATTCAGACTGTACTTCGATGTTTGATGATGAAGATAAATCTATGTCAGCTAAAGAAGCCAAGGAAAAATCTAAGATTAAAATGAGAAAAGCACGGAAAATTTTAGCAGAAAAACGCAACGCCATGCCTGTTGTATCCATACCCACTATTCCTCAATCAAGGTATAGTATGTCATTTGCTTAATGCTTGAAATATCTTATATTTCCATAGTGCTTCACAGCTCTGGTGCATTTAAGCTTCTTGTTAGGTATGATTTATCTTCATTTTCTCTTTCAGAATCTCAAAAATAGCATCAAAAGTTTCTCTCAGTAAAAAAGAACAATTTTTAAAGAGATTATTAAGTTATTGGACATTAAAGAGACAATCAAGAAATGGTGTACCTTTATTACGAAGGTTGCAATCTAATCATATGGCTAGAAATAGAGATCAGGTAAATTATTTTTTTTCTTAATAAGAATATTCATATCATAACACCTCAGTAAAGGTTTCCAAACGTAAGCTTATATTATTGCACACCAGGTCCTAATGTTCCTGTTTTACCAAAAAAGCCTTTAATGCTACCTTAGACAAGTTCATAATGAAAATGTTTAGACAGAAAATATCATATCATTATACTATATAAACAGAATAATGTCAGTGTCTGTCCATCATATTCCTCCATATATACTTTTGTTGTTGAATTTACTTATTGGTTTTATTTGTTACAAAATTTTAATTCATGTCGATTTTAACACATTCATTATTGTTTGTGAAATGATTTCCTTTAAGCTTATTTTATCAATTTCATTAATTATCGTTTTTTTGTCATTGTGTTGCCTAACAAATTACGTGTCTTTTTTGTTGTTGTTTTATTTTTTTAGACTTTGTTCTCATATCAGTTTTCTTTTTCGTTCATGTATTTAGCATGACAATGTTTATTTCCAGACCAAGAATGATCAACAAAGCAGTGAATTGAGAGATAAATTGAAATATTGGCAGAGATTAAGACAAGATTTAGAGAAAGCCAGATTATTAGTGGAATTAATCAGAAAGAGAGAGAAGTTAAAGCGAGAACAGGTAAATATGTGTTTATTAATGAAAGTTTTTTTCTTGTTTTATGGAGTACCCACTTTCTTAACTGTTCAAAAATCAGTTTGTTACACCATAACTATATTGAAAGAACATTGTTTAAACACATCTCAAGACATAATGAAAGAAACAAACTGTTCATTAAATCTTAATTATTAGCTTAGTTAAATTCTATAAATCACACTGTCAGTGGGTCCCTTGGGACCTCTCCAGAAAGTGTGTCACCAGCATCAAGATGCAAGACAATAATTATGTCATTAGTGACACTGTGTCACTCTTCAACTGGCATATAATTAATGACATTTTAATTATCTCTTGAAGCACACTGTTCAATTTTTAATGATTTCAATAATTATGATTTTCGTTCCTTATTAACTGCAAGTTTCTTTGTTATCTGGAAAATTTGAGCAGAATTAAGAGATTATCAGTCCTTAACTAAGATTTAGTCAAATCTGAATTAGTTTCTTAAGATAATTGCATTGAAAGTTTTCTTGGTACTATTTTCAGCAATAAATTTCCTTTAGGGGTTAACTGACTTTTCCGATTGGGAATTCTTCTGTGACTTGAAAAGTCTAACTTAGGAAAAAACTTCCTACTTTCTGAAGAACAAATGACCATGGAAAAAAACTCAGTCCTTTTATATTGCCTACCATAGAAAGTTGATGCTCTGCAAAATATTTCTTTTCTGTCTGGTTTCCCAATCCTATTCTTTAGACTAACCTTAATTTTTAGAACTGAATTAGGCAAAATAGATGATATATGTTTTTGATTTTCAGGTACGACTGTATCAGTTAGCAACTGATATGAAACTACAACCATTTGTATTTTTATTACGTCAAACAGTAGAACAACTCATAGATTGTGATACTGGTAACATCTTTACTGAACCAGTCTCACTGAAAGAGGTTTGTAGTTCTCAAACTATTTATTAATGCATACTCAAGTATCTTATTGTTTGAAGCCTTACTGGAAAAAACCTATATGCCCAAATATAAGATGTTTTTTGTCAAATTTTTCTCTGATCCTATGAGATGAATTTTCTGATCATATATCTATTACAGGTACCAGATTATTTAAGTTATATTGATAAACCAATGGATTTTGAAACAATGATGAAGAAAGTCAATGATCATATTTATAAAAGTATAGATGATTTTGAAGCTGATTTTAACCTGATAGTAGCTAACTGTATGAAATATAATTCTAAAGATACTGTGTTTTATAGAGCTGCTATTAAATTACGGGATCAGGTATGTCAACTTTCCTTTGTCTATGGAGGTTCTCAATATGTGGACATTCTATTTTGATAAGCTGTAATGTATATATAAGAAATGAAAGAAGTTCTGGTACCTGTAGTGAGCGATTCGATGACAGCATTAAATTTTTTTTCATAAAATTCAACATGTCAATCAAGGGCTTTTATAGAACATATTCTACTATTCAGATCAAAATCATAATTCAATCTTTCTCACAATAGAAACATGAATGTCCAACTCCAGTATACACAAATAAAAGTCTGTTGCGGCAAACTAACGAGAGACTGGCAAAATGGTAAAACATCTGCCATGAAATTTTTGCGTAAGGAATAGGTTTGGATGATCTTATTTGCTATTATAGAGAATTAAATTGAAATTGTTGTAAATAGTAATTCTGGCACAATAATTGAAACGTTATTAAGATAATTGACTAATATAATAAGATAGTAAAAGTTTTTTAGTATGACATGATGAATCATTTACATGTAACATTAACAGAGATATAGATATTTACTATGAAAATAAAAGGCAGCTATTAAGAATTTATCAATTTCTTGTATATGAATTATTTTAGTCTTATCAAGTTTGGTACAAGTCTTTAGTACAGTCCAGCTGTTAGCTATATTTTATAATACTGTTAAAATCTACCGTAATCACCTGTTATCATTCTACTATTCCCTTTAGAACTTCTAACTTTATAATATATACTATTTTACATTTTAATTTGGTACATATTACAAGTTCAAGGTCAGAATAAAACTCTGTTGATGATCGTCCATAGTGGTACAAATTTGTGTTAGTTTTCTCCATGTGATTCATTGTCACAATCAGAATGCAACTTATAATGCTTGCTCATAATTGTATAGTTCTCTTCATGAAAGTAGTACTTCCACATGTCAGTTCATGGTTCTACATTTTTAAATCATTTAATTGTATTAGGGTGGTACTATCATGCGTAGTGCTAGAAGAATGGCAGATCAGATTGGATTTGATATGACTACAGGGTTACACGTCACCAGTCCACCGAAACGTAAAGATAAAGAACCTATAGTATATGAAGATTGTAAGTATTAGGTTATATTTGATCCCTTAATTAACAAGTGGAATACAGTCAATTGCAATTTCAATGGATATAATGTCATCATGATATTGATAACCTGTGCCTTTGAGCTTATATCATTCACGATAGGTTTAGTGATATCAATGATGCTCATAACTGATATCAATGGTGCTCATAAGTGATATCACTAATAATGATATCAATAACATTTAAGTTATATAATGACCTTCAAATATCATTGACCTCTGATGATATCAATGACTTGAGTTGTAGGAATGATTTTGTAACTAAACTGAAAGCTGAGTGACTGTTTTTTTCTTATTACTCAAATGATTATTAAAAACCGAGTGTTTAATTCTGGAAAATGTTTTACTCTAAAGAGGAATGTTAGTAGTAAACAAATGTTATGTAAGAACATATGAAACCTGTCTTGTTTCTGTAGAGGTCAGGAAGGGTGGACTTGTATTTGTATATCATATTCACCAATATTTATGTTTTCCCTCTTTTAGTTGATACTTTTATGATGAAAGTACGAGAAGGGACCCCCCTTGAAGAACAACTTAACATATTACTGGATAAAATGGATGAAACACAGGCTGCTCGTAGTGGTGAGTGATAAGATTCTTCATCACAGCATACTTCTTTATTTGAATTACATTTAATCTATAACCTATTCTATATGCAATATACTAACTTTACCTATTGTTCATCATCTTATACCTAGAACATTTCTCCTCACCGTGCATCTCATTGTCTTTTAATCAAAGTTCTTTGATTTCTATAAATAAATTTCTATTTTCCAATCATTTTTATATTAAGATTTCAATTCATGTCAATTTGGAATGATTTAAACTTGACATGTGATAATTTAGGTAAGAAATCCAAGTTTATGAAGAGGATAAGAAGAGAAATTGTTTCTATACGAAGGAAAATGGCTATCAAGAAAGGACAAGCTGATACTGATGATGGATTTAGTGCTGATACAGGTGGGAACTGACTAATCTTGTAACCGTAGGGATTTGTAATATAGATTGGCCATTCACTATATGCCTTGTTTTTTTGTTTTCTGGTGGAGGTGTGTGTTTATTCAGTGGAAGGTTTTAATTCCCATGTGATTAGCAGACATGTTAGCTGTTATATACATGAATTAAACTTAAATTTTCCAGCCTCTACAACTGAAGCTGTCTCTACAGATAGTGAATCTCCTCCCCCCTCACCTATTCACAGTCCAAATAAATTAACATCACCAACAAGGAATAGTTTAAACAGATCACCTGAGAAGTTTGCACCAGTATCTAAATCAACACCGGGTAGTAGAGGTCGAGGAAGAGGTCGGGGTAGATGGCGAGGTCGTGGTAGAGGTGGTAGACCAAGAATAAGTAGCAACAAAAGTGAATCTGAAAATGATCATTCCACATCTCAACAGAAAGCTGGTAAGTAGAACTGAAAGAATATAACCTATCAAGGACAAGAATTTTTATTTTGTGACAATATATCAATTTATCTGATAATACTAATGTTAAATTAAATCTGTTTTCCAGAAGATACTGACCAGAATTCAGATGATGGTGATGATCTACAATCTTCTTCAGCTCTAACTCCTTCTCCTGCTTCTGGTGTTAACAGAAGAACAGCTGTGTTATTTAACAGCAAGAAACCTCGTGGAGGAACAGTAACGAAATCACCTACAGGACCACCAACTGTACGAAAAGGACCTGGGCGGCCTCCCAAACCAAGACCAATGGATGTTGACCTACCTCCCCCAGTCTTAGAACCAATGGTTAACCATCTACCCACAAGTCCAAGTGGAAGGAAGAGATCTATGAGTACTGGTGGTAGTAGAGAATCTGGTGGTCGACCATCACCCCCCAAGAGAGCCATGTCTTTAAATGACACCATGCCTTCCCTACAGGATCAATCTGATATGAATAGGGAGAGTTTTAAGATTTACAGACGTGCTCCAGCTGGTATCAGAAGTTCCTCAGAGTCTGAAAGTACATCTGGAATGAGCAGTGGTGATGAGATGTTATCAGAAACTTCTAGTGAAACATCCAGTAACAACAGCAGATCTGGTAAGTTTTACTTTTAGTTCTTCTTTAAAATCATCTTTCCCTATATAAACGTCCAAAGTATTGTCTACGTCAACATGATGCATGCTTGGTTTATTTTCGCAGGTTGCTTTTTTCATTGCCTGCTTTAAAAAGCTCACATGGTTGCTTTGATTTGCTAGCTTGATTTACAAGATGTGGTGTTCACTAATTTGGGTCATGGGTTTCATCTTTGTGTGTTATTCAGATTATTTGTATGCTGTCAAGCACAGAGTTGTATCATGAACTAGGTGGTGTTATTGTTGTTTTGGCACATATCTGGGCTAAGATATTGAAAATGTATTAATTATTCACATTTCAAGGATATAGGATAATGTATTTTTAAAGAATTCAAAATTTGACATAGCTGGTCTATCAACTAAATCTTACTGATGATTGTGACACAGCATACAATTAATCTGAGTGTATCATTGGATTTCATTGTTTTATCATGTAATCATGCTTGCTTTTATTCCCATCATTATCGTGTGGATTGTTACCATTATTTACCCTCTAGATGATCAATCAGAAGTCTCTCTTAAAGATGATGAGAATATGTGTTTGGATATCCCTGAATCACCTTCTTCTACTACCCCTAATTTATCCCCTACCCACGAAGGTGAGCAGTGTTAGCATTTACACATATTTTCATATTTGCCTCTCTTGGTGTCCTCTATTGGTGAAGGTTCTTTTTTGCATGCATAAATGAAAATTAAAATAGGCTTGCTAGGTCAACTATTTGACCAAGCTTGGAAGCATGAAACAATTATTCAACTTTTGTGTATCGGTACAGTAAACAACAAGAAAACAAACATTTCATTGCTTTCTGACATGAAACCTTTTCCAATAAAATCATTTAGAAATTGCATACTAAATATAATATGTTTACAAGTCAAGTGTATATTTCATGATATTTGGGCCAACATTTTGGTCTAAGACAATTAGATGATGTCCTCTGCTGTCTGAAACCAGCAGCTTCAGTCTTTTATCTTGCACTCTTGCACCGAAACCTCACATACACACACAACCTAACACACCCTCACACGTATGTAACTAATTGTATTGAGTGTGGGAAGTAATATCTTAAGAAACACCCATATTGACTAATTACCTCTACATTATCTAATTTTCTACACAGCAGGTAGCACAATAAATACTGATTTATTTATGACTTTCAAATTGAATTTCATAAACATAGGACAGAATTAAGGAAATTAATTTTCAAAATGTCAGGAAAAATTGTTAATAACCTTTATTGTTTGACACTTCTGCAAATGATTTATTACATACTCCCTTGAGTCAGCTTGTAAAGATTAAGTCCACAACTAATAGCATGACAAATTAATGTGGTCTGACATAATGATACTCAAGCAGTGAAGTTTAAAATCGATTAGTCAATATGAAAGCACAAGATTTGTATGAATACATATATCAATATAAGCTTATTCCAAAATCATTTCCAAATAATAGAGCTCAATTATAGCTATTTATAGCACTTATCCGGTACAATATATACTCTGAAAGGTTACTGTCCTGACTTTCAGATCATAAGATTGTGATGCTACCAGTTCAAAGTAGTCTTACTGGAATCAATAGATACATGAGATACCACTTGTAAAGCAATTGGATCAAACTATTATGTTATATTATTTTATGTCGTATATGTGAAATTTACAGGTGGGAAGTCTACAGTAAATGTCAATACAAACAGTTCCTTATTTACTTTAATAAATGATGTTGATAAAATCCACATGGACACAAAAAGAATTCTTAGAAAACAAACAAATAGTTCTATATTGGATGCTAGTAAAATTTATGTAATAAAAGATAATATGGATACGGATGAAGATCCTAGACTAGAAGCTCAGCCACAGCTTGATATCTTTAGTGATGATAAGGGAATCAACAATGTGGTTGAATATTTTGCTGAGAAATGTCAAGATACTACCTGCCAAGTGCCTGAAAGTAAAGGAGAATCACAAGATAAGGGTTACAACACTAGAAAAAATATTTTTGAGAAATTTGATGTGAAAAATTTACAAGAAGATGCTAAGCATCAAAAGTTATCTGGTGTTAAGGGAATGAAGATACAAGCTCCAATACAGAAAGGCAAAAATGTGTGTAATTTAAATTATTTGAAGAGAAAGTCAACATGTGGATTCCAACAGACAGCAATTCAAGGGGGAGAAAGTAATCTGCTAACAAACCTCAATACTGACATTGATAGCAGAAACAAAACTACATCTCCAGATTCTACTGATAATAGGCATTATAATGAGTCTCAATTGATTCCAAACCAGACAACTACCACCACGTCTCACCTGATATCACCTTATAATTCTACTCCCAATGAGAATTCTACAGTAAAACAGCAAAGTCGTCATGACTCTTACAGACAAGCTATGGAGAAAGAATTAAATATGTTGGTCGAGGCATGTTATAAAAAGAGGAAAACAGACGTGAATACTTCAAGAATTAATAAACATAATCAATGCTTACCCAGATCTGGTATATATACTACTGTTGGCTACTTGCCATGTTTCATCTTGTTACTTGTTCTATCTGTTTAGTCTTGCAAAGTTGGGTTTTTTCTTTAGAATTAGTTGAAAATTATCCCATTTTATTGTTGGTATTAATATTTGATATGTTACTTGAGTTGGCTCATCTGTCTTATAACTTCATATAAATTAGCATCAATTTTATATCAGGCTTTCTTATTTAAAATCTAAGATAGGAGGGAGAGGAATGGAAATTTAAGAGAATGGATTGGCTTTTTTGTGAAACTTTCACATTTTTCAACATACTAAGTTAGATTGTGATAAAAAAGAAATAGCAATTTGTGCACCATTATATATATATTTTATGTTTTTTACAACTAATACAGAGCCAGATCTGATCAAAATCTTACACTGCAGTAAATTTCAAGATGCTATCAGTGTTTTTAGATTGTACAGTAGTTAATTTGTTTAAATCCGGTGTTAGTGTGATAGAAATCAATAATTAGACTTAAATCTTCTCTATTTTCTCAATGGTGAAATATAACCTTGACCTATAGGTCAGACAATCATTTAACTAATATCTCCAACTTTGATCTTTTAACAAGATATTTTTCTATCTTGACAGTCATTGAGTGATAGATTAATCTTGTTACTAATTTACATTTCTTTACTTCATACTTTTTCATTTAAAACAAAGAAATAACAATTTCAAAATAATTGGTTAGTTGAAATAGAACAATTATATCAATTAAAGTATAGAAAACTACACAATTCTTTTTTCTACAAGTTTTAAAGGAGCAAATGTATGTATCCACAATTCACAATCAGAACTTTAGTTTTATCAAGAGTTGGCTCTTCTTAATTCCTTTGAACTAATATTTTAATTTTGCGTTTATTTGTTACAATGTTTCGCTGCCATATTCCATATTCACATGTTATTTGGTTTGTTATTGTATATTCACATTATTCTTTTTGTTTTTTGTTCAGTTCAAAATTCATTCTAATACACACAACACTCTTTTTATGTTTTC